CCTCAGGGACGCGCGCCCGCAGCCCCCGGCTTCTCGCAGCCGCATAGCCCGGGCGGCCGAGGGGTGCGGGGAAACGGGGAGCGGAGGGGAGGGGGACGTGGGCGGCCGGGGTAGAGTTTGTAGTAGCTTGGCCCTGCGGCATCATGGGTCTTGTAGTCCGCCTCGTGGAACTGGGGGTGGCCGGGGCCGCAGAGGGTCCCGCACAGTCTCCCGCATCCCCCGAGAGCGGAGAGGGAGCCTCTGGCCAAAACGATGGCAGCGTCCTGACACCGGTGGGCCGGGGCGCCACCCGACCGCGGGCATTTGCCTTGTACAAGGGAAGGGGCTCCAGGCCTCGCTTCGGTGTTAGGACTTAGGGGAGGGTGTGGCTCCGGGGGGAGTTTGGGCTTCGGTGGAATGTGAGGAGGGGTCCAGATATCAGAAACCAATAACGAGGGGGGCTCGGGGAAAGTGGGAGACATTAGTACCAAGGGTTATTAGAATAACCAGGGGTCTGGCTCTTGAAATTTTATGTAGTAGCCTTCCCTGGCCAATGGTAAGATTTAACTCCATCTGCTACAGTTGATCTTAGAATGAGAATGTGCGTCTGGGGTAACTAACAGCCCTGCCCCAGAGCTGTCCTCGGCAAGGACAGCCAGTACGGTTGGCCAGAGAAAGCAGCAGGTGGCAGCTGCCACTGCCACCTCACGTGGTCCCCGTGGTCCCGGAGGAGGGGAGGTGACTGGTGGCTGCCTTCCTGAATAACCCCGGGGTGGAGAGGTCCTTCCAGAAGGGTTCCTACAGGTGCTGTGATAAAAGTGAAATTGGTCTCCGTTGGCTGCCCTATTGCAAGGACTGAGAGAGACTCTTGGACCACTCACCTCTAAAATGAAACTCTGGATACTACTTCCTGTGGTGACCTAAGGACAGATACTACCCTGGAAACTGAACGTTGCTTCCCGATCAGAGACAGGTGGCAGAACCAGGCACAGTGCCTTCTTGAACCCACCTTAGCACAAGACAGGAGTAAGGGATTCCACACCAGCCCTACACAGAACAATCCAAGAAGGGTTTGCGTGGGAGGTGCTAGCAAAAGCTTGCAAATTCTTCGCGCCTCTCTGGTTTCTTTGTGTGGTCTTTCTTTCCTCCTCCACACCCCGAGGTGCCCTGCCCGGGCGGGAAAGGGTGAGGGAGGAGTGGACAGCCTCGCCCCTTTCTCCAGCTTGGGCGGAGCCAACCGGCGTCCCGCAGGAGCAGCCTACGGCTACAGGAGACTGTTGCCCCCCTCTACCACGAGGGGTCAGCAGAGTGTTGTGGTTGCAGCCAGAGCTGGGGAGGGGGCTAGAGTTGGGGAGGGATGGCTAGGAGTGGCCGGAAGAATGCCTGCACATTTCCTCATAAAATTGTTTTAGAACCGTGTGTGACTTCTCTTGAACTGTCCTGCTTCCTGGGCTGATGACAACTCCGAAGGGAAATCTTGAAGTCCTTTCATCCCCAGCCCTGGGCCCAAAAGCTGGGCGGGGAGGGGGCTGGAGGTTAGGGGGAACAAAGTTTGGAGAAGAGATCCATTTCTGGGCCACTCCCAGGTAATCGGGAGCCAACTCAGAGATAGGGCAGGAAGTGGAGAGAAAGGGTGAATCATCCTTACCCTGCAAAATATTAGAGCTCAAGGAGAAGGGGAGGGGGGAACTTCGACGTGGATTAAGGGACCTGGCCTCTGGGCACACAGACTGTCTTTGCCAGGGTGCCCACAGATTCAGTCCAGGTAGTTTTTCCTGTGGCCTGCACGCTCCAGCTGCCACGTGCTCCAGACGCGCCCACACAGCAAGAGAAACAAAGACAGCCAAGTGATGGGGCTGCCAGCAGCTGCCTCGACATTTAATAAATGAAATTCCATGGCTGGGGGTCGATGGGGGTGAACGGGTGGCCACCGCTGGTGGGCCTTATGCCAGAGCAGGCGGCCAGGCACTGCCGTCGCCCCATTGGGGCTATTCAGTCAAGGACTGACACTAGGTGCTGTATAGAATGAGGCAGTAAGTGGTGTTTCCCCTTACCGAACTCCCCCACACCCCACACCCCATGTGTCTTTGCTCCCAGTGAATCTGCCTGCCAAGAGTCTGGCCAAGGGGGGCTGCGGGTGGCAGAGAAGGGGAAGCCTGCAAGACTTTTTTTAAGGTGTGTTTATAAATAAACCTCGTGGATGGCGACTTCAAACAAACTTGTCAATCTGGGTTTCAGCAAAAGGCAATGGAGGCAGCTTTTGCATGTATTTCGGGTGGTGTGACTCATGAGCATTACTTGTCTCCCCCCAGGGAAGCAGTCTGCCCACCCACAAATCACGGCTGCTCAGGCACCGCTGGGGTAAAATGGACCAACTCCCGCACCCCTGCCCAAGGATTCGCCCCCATCCCCCTGGTTACTGAGCAGAGGTCTCTTTTAGTAGTGTCACCACTGACCTAAGTCCCCCAGCCTAGTATCCCCGCCCCCATGCACCTCTGCCCTCTCCCCACAGAGTGCTAGTGCTCTGGCCTTTTGCTGCTGCAGGGGTGGGGGCTGGGTGCACACGGGGCACTCCTATATAAGGGGAGCATGCTCAGTGCGCCCACATGCATGCGGGCCTTTGCTCCCTGTGTCCCCACCCCCACCCCCACTGC